TTGGGTCAAAGGCTCCTACGAAAATTCCCTACATGAAAGGCTAAGTTCATATTCCGTAACTTCTCATTTAATCACTAAATTAGAGAGGTGAGGAGGGGGGAAAAGCAAACAGAACAAAGGGGAAGAACCACACTATGTCCTTCAAAATCAATCCCATCAACTCTCTCTTGCCAGAGACAAGAAATCCCTCATCTCAACAGGGTGTATGGTTCTTGCTCTCCCTGCCCAGACCATGCAGCAAGAGAGATGGTAGACACATGGCCAGATCGTCCACTGCAGCTGAGGGCAGAAAGCCATGAGCTTCCTCACTGAGAAATACTGCCCATGGTTGGCAACAAACTGAGCATCACCAGTCCCTCACCCAAGGGCCCTACAGAGCTTGAGCAGAAACACGGGCCTGACGAGCTGGGTAAATCTCAGCACCATCTCTGCTCTAGATCATTTGCAAACAAGGCACATTTAATGGGCGACTCTTTTGATAGAGTCTGGAGGAGAACAAGCTGCATGAAGGTTTGGGAGCTTGCCCTAAGCAAAGGGAGGCCCAGGGCCTGTCAGGCAGCACCCAACGACTGGAGGGAAGGGAGGTTATCATGGCAAGCCCAGTTGTTTTGCAGCTCCTACTTCATCTTCCTAGCAGGCACCAGTCTTCTCCATCCAAGTTCTCCCTGACTGATCCAAGCTTATTTGTTTGCTCTTGTTACAGCTCCCTTCAACTGCAATCCACAGCCCATCTAGCTTAATTATACTTCCCTCTCAACATCCCTGTCTCAACTCATTCAAGGAGAGCACCTCAGACATGCAACAATGGTTCCTCAGCACAGTTCTATGAGAGGAAACAAACAAGCAAAGCAGAAAGAGAAAACCACAGCCAGAGCCAAGTATCTAACGTCAAGAGAACCTCCCTGCAGGACAAACCTTCCAGTCCTCACCTCTGTAATGAAAAGGATGCACTCCAGGAACATGAAGTCCTTATGGTTTTCGTTTACCACCTTCTCATCAACAAAGTGTCGAGGCTCCAGATTTGGATGGTCTAAAAAGAGTAAAAGACAATAGGAAGTAACCTGTATGGCACCCCCCTTCTGAGACCAAGTTCAATCAGGTCTTGCCCTGCCCCTCTTCCAGAAGAAACACAATCCTCCCATCAGAGATCTTCAGAGGTCAGCAGAGAGCTGATCCCTTCCAACCTCATCTCCCACTCCAGTGCCTCAGCAGTGAGAGCACGTGGTAAACTCCTCAGGGCACAAAATGTGTTTTCTAGCACCAGAAACAAGACTCTCCTTTTAAAAAGCTTATAGCTATTGCAATAAAGACTGTACTGTACAAGGAAGCATTCCATCTTCCAACCTAAGCAACTAGCCTTATTTGGAAAGCTGAGAGAAAAAAAAATAAATCCAAGTCCCCAAACTCTTCTACTCTATTATACACAAATTTGACAGATTTGAATTTAAAAGTCAGTCCCAAGCCCCATCATCTTTGCAACCCAGACAGACGGGGCAGGGGGCAAGCTGGGACACGAGAAGAGTTTTATTAGTACCTATCAGCTGGGAACTGCCCCATATGAAAGGTAGAAATTGGAAGTCATCCAAGCCCCACACGCCCTGGCTGCCAGCAGGTTCCATCCTGTAGGTCTTCTGAAGTTTTCGCATCACTTCTAGGTACCTGAGACCAAAGAGAGAGAGGGAAGGGTTAAGACAAGGCCTTCTTCTGTCTTCATTGACTTACATGAGAACAAAACCAACCAGTCCGGAGAAGGACACAACTTTATCACTTGCAAGCAGGACCTCCACATAGAGCACAGCACATAGAACACCACAGAAAGCAGCCTAACGGTACGTGTAGTAGCAAATACCAGCACCTTCTAAAAATAGGGTGGGTTTTTTACACCAAATTCACTGAAAAAACAAGTGGCAGGGCTTATTTTATCTGCAGTGTCTTAGGCTGATGCAGATCTTTCCCCACCTCCACTGTTGTTTGAAAACATGGACACTTTTCTCTCCTTCAACAACTTCCAAAAATGCTTAGAAAGCTTTCCACCTTACGGCAACTGCTACTTCCACTTTTCACGTGGAAAATTAAAGCTGGAAGTACTATCGAAGCAAATTCTTTCCATGCCACCAAACAGTGATACAGTTGGGATTAGATCTCTGGACTCCAAATACCCGTTCCACCAGTTTCATCACTATCAACTCTACCTCCTGGGCTGGAAACACATCTAGAGGAGCAGTGGAGGCCTGCCAGTTTCATAGATTTTTTTTTTTTTAAATGCCTGAAGAGATGTTAGATCCTCTGATCAGATATTCCTGTCTATCACAAAGCACAAGAGCTTCACCCAAACACCTCTGCAGAGCTCAGTAACTTGTGCTCAACTAAAGTAACTTTCCAGAAAGATGCTCAGCCTCTAACAGACAATGTGCTATCACTTCTTTGGAGATAGTTATCATGGGTCACTGTACAGTCCATCAAAAAGTACATCTGCCTCCTAATTTTGCCTTCAGTTTTCCCATTCTGCCCTTTTTCCCTAGGCCAGCAAGCCCTCCAGCACTCACGTTCTCTAATTACGTACACATCTTTGTAGAAGGCTCTTGATTTTCCCAGCTCACACCCCAGGAGGAAGCTCTTCTTACAATTTCTTACTCCCAAATGGGTGCAGATGAGCAGAAGAAAGGCGGCACAATCAGCCCAGACTACAGAAGGAGTCAGGTATACAGAACAGACAGTAATATCTCACACATCTCAGACAGCTGGAAGGGGACACTGTCAGAGACCTGCCCCCAAACAGCCCAATGCTTCCAGCCCTTCTCGTCCCATTATCTCACCTGTTAAATACTTTAAAGACGATGGCCATCTGGTCATCCACTCTGAGCACACCGATTTTGCAGAGGCAGCAGAGGAAGGCTGCAAACGCAGCTTCGTGCCCTGCAGTTAAAAGACATGAAGAGACGTGACACTGGTGTCTCTGGCCCCCAGGACAACCTTTCTGTGGGAAACACAATGGCTTTTCAGAAATCACAGCAGTCACAGCCCCATCTCAAGAGCCGCAACCCTATTGTCCCCTGACAGTATTTCATCCCCATGCAGCACCCACCCAAATTGTACCTTCTAGACATTGATACTGTGATTATTAACTTTGAGAAAAGAAGACGTTCTTGAGGAAAAACAGCTCCAACATGAGCATGTTGGGAGCAAGGCAGGGCCTTTCCCAGGAGCTTGGCACAGCAGGAAAGCGGAGCACTGCAGTCTCATCTGCTCAGGGGATGCGAGAGAACCTCACATCTGCAAGTAAACAGATTTTCTCTCGCTTCAAAAATATCTCTGTGTTGGAAGGATGCAGATCCCATGACGCTGCTGGGAACAATCCATCCCAGAAGGTACTAGGATCTCAGGCCGAGCCCCTGCAGCTTGGTCCTCCAGCTAACAGCGAGCAAAAGAAACAACCAGCAAACCCAGAAATGCCTTTTAGTGGAAGGGACCACAGAAGAAGGGAGGGTACAAGATCAGCAGCTCCACGCTATGAAGAAGTGCAGCTCCCAGCATAGGAACAAGGTGCCCCTATGGTCCAGCCACTGTGAGCTAGGACATGGACCTCTGGCTTGGGACACACAGGAGGGGAGGAAAGACTGAATTTCCTTCCCTGAGCTGACAAAACCCCAGTCAACGGGTTCCTTTCCAAAGACAACATCTCCCCCTGGTGCCGGCGAGCCGCAGCTCTCCTGGCAAGCGCTGCACAGCCTCCAGCTCTTCATCCTTTTACCCATGTCCTCCTCTTCCTCTCCCTGCCCCGGTCCACAGCCGTGTTTTCCTTGCACCCAGAGAGTCCTGCTCTCCTACCTTTTGGTGAGGACCTTCTTCTCGGCACACCTGTCCTCCAGAGAGGAACAGAGCACATATATGATTCTGGATTTAGGTCTAACTGAAGCCAGTGTGGCTACTCCAACCTGCAATTCAGTATCTCCTTAGGTGAAAAATGCTTCTGCCTTCAAAGTCCCTCTGTAAGCAGTGATGTCACTCCTAGGGAGCACCAGACTTCAAGACACTTCCCACTAAACATGAACTCGATTCCCATTCTAGTTCCAGTTCAAGCAATTATATTTCATCTCTCTAAACTGCCTACTGCAGATCAGCAGGTGCAGGACTGCTGTACGTGGTGAAGCAGTTCCTACAGCTTATCCCAGAATGGCTTGCACAGTTTGGTTCACATCTCCTCAGATGAGACGTGAAAAGGGTGTCTTAAGTCTAGCATAGCCCTGCTGCCAGTCCCAGCCCACACTGGACATAGGGGTACAGAGGCCCTAGAAAGAAGGTGTTTGTATCAATCTGGCACTAAACAACAGTGGCAATAATATATTTAAAAAAATGCAGCACCAGGCTCCAAAGGGTCACTATCCAAGGAAGTCAAGCCTCAATCCGCATGCACGCCCACATACCTGTGCCATAGTCAATGCGGGTGGAGTTCCCCACGGATTCCTTCAGGTATACAGCCACTTCGGGTGCAGCGTCAGCCAAATGCTTGGGGATCACTGTTGCCACCAACTTTTCTGCTTCCTGAAAGACACAAAAGACTTCCTCGAGTGAGTGCAGATCCGTCACACTCCCCAGGAGCAAGACACCCTCTGCTCAGGCACTGTTGCAGAGCAGGAGCTGCAATGGTGCACTCCTACAATGGCCAGAGCCAGCATGACAGAAGAGCAAATTCTCCTGTTGGAGAAGTCATTTCTAGAGATGGAGCAATTTAGGGGGAGCTTGTACTGACACTTATTCAGGCCACATGTATCCTGTAGGAAAAAAAAGCTTCACCATCCAAGTACATCAACCCAGTTACCCACTGAGTTATCTCCAGGACAAAAGCGCTAATAGAGCAGAAGACCACCTGCAAGCTCGTTGCTGCTGGGATTGTGCCTGTGCCACCTCCAGAGCTCGATGAAGGGCAAGCATTCTGAGCTGAAGGAAGGCGAGCAGTTTCACAACCTTCCTCTGATTTTGCGTGTCACTCATCAGCTAGCAGACACAGCGGGCAGTTACAGAGCAAAGTAGTTCCTTGGGCTTGGAGGGCCCTCGTGGACCATCCAGAACTTAGAGACCCAGCCAAGAGCATTTACATGGACCATATGCTCTCATAAGTGGAGAAGACAGCACCGGATCAGGGGTAAATGATGCATAACAAGAGGTGGATCCTTCACAGCTTATCTGAATAATTCCTCTGTAGGCAGCCTGGCTGTCACACAACGACAGAGCCATTCTGCTACCCCTTCTGGGCATGCTGCCCTTCTGTAGGAGCTACACGTGAAAGACATGCTCACCTGGTCTAGTTTGGCGTACCAGGTCCTGAAGGCTTTGTTCCCAAAGCGAGAAGGTTGATCCACTGGCGGGGTTTCATCGATCCATCTGTCAAGGGTGTTCAGAAGGGCCACCAGCTTTTCAATGGGCTACAGAAACAAAGATGATGAGGGGTTACAGTGACAGAAAACAGAGCAATCCCTCAGGCTTCAACATCTCTGCCCCGGATTGGAATTGTTAAAGCCTGCACCATCCTTCCTGAGGCTGGCAAGCAGAAATGGGATGTGCCAACCCTCCTTGAAATGCAGAAGGGCTGAGAAAGCCATCTTTTCCCTTAGAAGTTCAGTCCAGAACAAAGCTCAGCCTGAGGCAGGCTCTCCAGTCGCCCACACAGCCTTTTATGAGCTGAAACGGCACTATGCTCCAAAACCTCTGGGAAAAGAGCTACAGCAAGCTCCTAGCTGTAGGGCATCCAGGACTGAGAAGCAGGGGAACTGCTACACGATTTAGAGATCTCCAACACAAAACTCAGGCTTTGCATCTTGAGGGTCCTGCGTCCCCCACGGGATATAGCACAGTTCTCAAGGCCAGTGCAGCAGGGCCTAACCGCAAGGCAACCTCCTCAGCACGATCCCTGCTGCTTCCAACTTGTACCAGCCAGACTGCTACAGCAGCTCCAACCCAGGGATGCTCAGCGCACGTGGCAAAATACAACCTACCTAAGGGAAGGGGCAGCCTGGTTTGCCCACCAGTGGTCTCATCAGAGCAAGCATGAGAAGCTCTTGGCGCTCAGAGAAATGTCTCAATACAAACACAAAGCTGACGGGAAGACAAATGCAACAGCAGGACAACAGAGCCATCTTTCTTATACCTAGTGCTGGAAAGAGAAAGCGAGGAACCTGTGTAGGATGTATGAGAGAGACTGGAGGGGGCACTCCTGTGGCCATGAAGGAAGAGAGGTGCAAGAGGCGATCAGCACCATGTCTCAAGCTGCACTGTTAGGACCAGGGCTGGCCGATGCACACAGCCTCCTCCCTGCCTTGCCCATACAGCTGGGGAACAGTTACAGCCCACGCACCAAGAGGCAACACCGTAAGCCACACTTTAAGCAGCTCTGTTTTAGGAGGCTCTGCTGACAACTGGTCAAGCCTGCCAGAGGCTCTGGGATTCTCCTCACCCGACTCCAAGCAGCCAGAGAGCCGTCAGCCACCACAGCA